AATTGATGTTGCTGAATCACAGCGTGCAACGGCGATTTGATGTTGAATCTAAATAAACAATCATTCCAATTAATATCTGAACTCTTTTTGGTAAAATAACACTAAAACAATAATATTTTAACGATAACTAACCAATTGTTACATTTTTTTAAATATATTTAAGGAATCAAAACAGAATCATTGAAAGGACTTACACGATCTTTGAGGCTATTCAGAAACTCTCCTTGGGGACTATTTCTGTACAAACAATCAACAAAGACCTTGAGGTAATTATATAGAATTTATAATTAATTATAAGTCAAGAACACGTATTATAGTCTAGGATCTGTCAATCCACAAAAATTTAGTACACCAAACTTGAGGCTTCTCGAACTATAGAAACAAAAGAAAAGGGTAAATATTGGTCCTTAATTTTCCTTGAATAATCATAACAGGAAAAGAGTTGTAAAGTAGACAAAAATAATGGAATCTAAGAGCAATGATGAAATCCCATTAATAATTAACCATTTTGATTCCTTGAAACAATTCAAAGAATTTAGTAACTCAATAGTGAATTTGTGTTGAGTGATAATGAAACCATGATCTTTCCTAAAGATTTCAAACCCAGAGAAGTAGTGTAGGTGACCCAAATCTTTGACTTTAAATTCATCATCAAGAAACACACTGAGTGATGCTGACAGTTAATGATATCATCAACATATATGGCTATGATCATAATAAGATAATTTTTATAAAAAAGAGAATAGTCATTTACACTTTGTTTGGATCATTGTTTCATAATGTATCGTATTGTATTGTACTTTATTGTAATGTATTGTATGGTAGATACAATGGTTGGTTAGATGTATTGTTTGTTATTGTTTAGTAACATTTAAATTGTTTGGTTTGATTGTATCGTATTGTATTGTAATTTATAAATTTACTTAAATATCCTTAATTATTCTTATGTAGGAGCTTTGACTAGATTTAAATAAGTAAGGTAAAGGGTAAAATAGTATCTTGAAATATTATGTAAAGATATAATTGGAAAAAAAATTAAATAACAATGGGAACACACCAAATTGGTTGTTCCATAAATAGGGATTTCCATTGTTACGTAACAATGAAATTTAACAATATAGTACAATAAATTTTAAGTTACAAACAAAACAAAACATTGTAAGTATAGTAACGATACAATACAATACAATGAATAACAATGATCCAAACATATTGTTAGAGAAGAAATAAATCCTTTGAATTGTAAAGCAATTGATAGCCTAGCAAATCATAACCCAAGGTGCATCTTAGATGTGACATGGTAAATAAAATTTTGAAAGGCCCTAAACAAGCCACTTGACGTAAGTAATGACGTAAGATAAAGATATACAATATGAAATCAACAATAAAGCTAAAGAAACCTAAATCATAATAGCTCAACACAAGAGAACCCTTCATACAAAACATTAAATGCGGAAGCTATATTTTAAGTTATACTAAAGTCTAACACAAGTTTTTACTACATAGATGAGTCTTTAGAACCATGCTTAATTTTTTATGACTCTATTAGTAAATACAAGGCTTAGCATGTGTCAAAGGAATAGGTACATATATTAGGTGCTGAATATTCGGAACACCTTTGCTTCAGTAGCCCGATTGAATACCATTTAGACTATTACTAGTAATTATAATATAAAAAAGCTAAAAAGTGTTTTAACTATATGTGAATTCTGCCTTTTTGATGGTGTACCATTGGAAGAACTTGTAACGACCTGATCTGCGTTGTTAGGGAAAAGCAAATGGGGAAACAAATAGGGCCAGCATACTTCCGTAGTAACTTAAGATTTCTTAGTCTAGTCCAGATTTGTACAAAATCGGAGTTAGTGAGATTAGGGAAAATCTGATAACAAATGAGAGATCTATTAATGAATTTGATTACACGAGTGGATACCTAAGACGTTAAGGAACTCGTGCGACTTTAGAAAATTAAATTTGTGTGAGTAGAACTTCCAAACTAATCTTAGCATAAACGAGTAGAACTTCCAAAACTAATCTTCGCATGAACGAGTATTTCTTGAGTGTTATAGGATGATGTTGTGTTGTGAAATGAGGCTTGGAATTCAAATTCCAACATTCTCTCTCCGTGCATGCCGTTGTAAAGAGATGAATTCGCTGTAGCGGGATGGGTTCTGCGGTAGCAGAAAAGACGCGACTTAAATCAAAAATAAAATCCCAAAAATATTTTGTTCTGCACTTTTTGACTTTGAGAGCTAGGAGATGATCCCAGACGAGTTCTTGATTGTTTTTCATCATTCTTTAAGCTAAATGTAATACTTTAACTCCTTGAACACGTTTTTTGATCCGTAGGACGTAACCTAATTAATGGGTAATTATCGATGGGGGAAGGTTTGATCTGAAAATTACGGTGGAAAACCCCTAATCTAGGCCGATATGGGGATCAAGGGTTTGGTCTAGGGTTATTGAGTTTGTTATAATCCGAATAATTAGACCTTGATTTATTTATCCTTGCGTATAAATTGTTGTTTGTAGACCTAGAACAAGCGGAAAAAAATCTGAAAAGAAAAAGTCCAGATTCCTTTATAAGGGGATTCAATCTTGGATAAGAGGTAAGTGATGATTTTAATTTCATGTTTTGTGTGATGTATGTTAGTAATTGTTTCATTGTAATATGTGCATGTATATGAATGAAGCCTATTGATCACACCTACTGTAAATAAGTATGAACGAATCACCTCTTGTTGTATGATTGTGAGAATATAAATAGTGATTGTGACTGTGATTTGTTGAATAAATCTGGTGTTGCATTCCGACACACTCATTAAAATCGATTTCCACATTTTGGCATAACTATGGGACATCAATTACCACAATCTGACATAAATATGGAATTGGTTGTCACGTTCTGACATAAATATGGAATCGTTTACCACATTTCGACATAAATATTGAATTGAATACCACATATTGATATGCTAATAGTTTGGATATGAGTTTTATGAGTAACCCATTAAATTGCATTCTGAGAGAACCATTTATTTATTATATCTACTTGTTATTGAGATTGTGAAATCATGTATTGCTTCTGAAATGATAATCGTGTGTGTGTGTGTATATATATATATATATATATATATATATATATATATATATATATATATATATATATATATATATATATATATATACTACTACTACTACTACTA